GCCGTTTTAGGCCGCCAGCACTACGATCGCGATTCGCCAATAGGACCCCGGCCCAATAGTCAAGACTATTCGAGCCAATCGGACTGATACATACACGTGCCTCTTCATATACCGATTTGTTTGCCGACGTACCGAGCTACCGATAGCGAGGATTGTCGCGACGATTGCGATCTATCGATCTGGGGGTTTCTTATCTTAGTCCCGTCGAGGCCCCCCTGAGAAATCGGCGCTGGACCTCGCTGGGGATCGGTTCTCATCGCGCGATCGCTTGGATTGCGACCTGTTGCAGTTGTCGCAGGACTCCCCTACCTGATCAGGGTCTAAGGGCGGAATCCCAGGGCGTCACCTGCCTGAGTTCTGGAGCTAATGCCAATGCTGGGACTGAGACGATACCGAGATGCACATACTTTGAGAGAGTGCGGCCTGAGAGAATGGAGAGAGAGAGAGAGAGAATGGATGACTGAGATGGTGTTCGATGATCCTCAATTTCGACGGATTTTTGGGGAGGCTCCAAGGCTGGCGAAATCGTATCCGATTAATTTGATTAACAGTTTAATTTAATCGAGATCCTTGGAGACCTCTTTGAACGATGAGAAAGGAGCCGTGCCACTTGTCTACGACGAATGAGACATTATTGAAAAAAAAAATTGATATCTACTTGTCGCGCGTATGTACTTTTTAGATGAATTATTGGGAGTTATTTTGGAACCGAGATAAGAGTAATTAATAATAACGAAGAACCTGAGAATTGACTGCGAATTTAATTAGGAGGTCGTTTATAGCCGGGTTATCACCAACTGGACCGTTCAAAGTGTCCGATAATATCGTTGTCGGAGATTGGCCACTCCTTTGTCATTAGCAATCGTGAAAAATCGAACCCAGAATTCCGTCGAATCGGGGAAACCTAGAATGCGCATTGAATGATGCATAGAAAGCGCATTGAATAATGCAAGTGCGAACGGATGCATGAGAGCGAAAGGCGAGAGAATGCGAGAGTCTGGGACTGACATCCAGGGGGGACGAGAGAATGCGTGAGAGAAAAAGTGGCAGGAACCGCAATAGCAAAGCCTAAGCAAATTCTCCAAAGAACGCGGCAATCTCGGCAGTCGAAAGCAGCAAAGTCGAGAAACGCGTAAAACACGCACATCTCACCCCTTTCATCATCTACCGTTATCTCCTTCATTGTCATCACCATCGCTTTTGGCTTCGCACGTCTCGTCATTGTCCACCCAGCCAGAGCTGAAGGGATAACAATTTCTGAAAGAAAGAGCGAGAGAGTGAGGCCTGAAAGGCCTGATAGGAAACGGGAGAGAAAGAGAGGGAGAGAATGAATGACGGACATCGGACACTCGGCCGATCGGCGACGAGATCATTGGCGAGGTCAGAGACGAAATCGAAGACCACCACGAAGACCCTGCCATCGTCTGTCTTCGTCTCCTCGGGGACCAGAACCTCTCTTTCCTGAAGATCAAGCCAAAGAACGAATCGCACTTATAGGTATGCCCTGGGGATACTCGAGCAGGCATCATCGTCATCGTCTTCCTCGTTATCCTCGTCATCTCGCCGCCCTAACTCGCTCTTCGCGAATTGACCTCGGACCGGGCACTTTGACGGAATAGACCAATTGGCAATTAGGAAATACATCAAAGAGGCTATCGAGCATGTTCGAAGTGCACGTTCTGCCGTCAATGGAAGCCCATCTCGAAATCCGCGCAAAGACCGCGGCTCGCGACGAGCGCGCGCTCTCCTTCCCGAATGGAATCCTGCATTTTAAATCGCCCTTTTCATACCTTCCGGCGACTCGAGGCCCGACCGCTCCCTTATCGCGCAAGAAAATGCCCTCGAAAAATTAAAAATGGATAGGCGAGGTGGAACCGCGAAGAGAGGAATTAATCATCGATTTATTTAGTAATTTATTGAATCTTCGTAAAGCGGTGGTTAGGGTTCTTAACCGTTTGAGTCCTAGGGGGTATTGAAAAAACACTGTCGAAGAATCCCGAACAGCGCAACCGCGCTTTCTCTAAATGAGTACGAGAAGACCCAAACAGCGCGATAGCGCTTTGTTTATTTTATGTCGATGAATCCCACTCGGCGCGATAGCGTTTCTTGAATTGTAAGATGTATTATTTACACCCTTGCGTTACGATTTAAATTCCAATAGCGCGTGCCATAAACAACAAAAGTGTCGGTCATATATCGGCCCATTTCAAGGTTTGGCTGAACGTAACTTCTCATACGGTTTGTTTACATTTGGCCCGATTGACATACCACGTCTCTCGCACATTTTGTTCACGTTTGGCCCGATTAATTTACCACGTCTCTCACACGATATTGTAAGTTAAGAGGAAGGAGCTGTGTAATGTACTTGGGTCAGTGAATCTGAGCGACTTTGACAATCGGTGACGCACCGTCAGTTGTCCACAACGCTCGAAATATGCTGGGTTTTCTCGACATAAAATCTGAACTGCGCGATCGCGCTACCTGGGACTCAAACGGTTAAGCTCGAGAGGAACGCGTTCGTCTAGATTTTTTACGTTTCGTTGAGTACTGGGTAGGAAAGCTTGGCGTGTAAAATTGCACTTTGTACTTGAAGGATTAGTACTAGTGATGATACATAGTAATGTTCCGTCCTTTGATAACGTTTAACGCTTGTTGTGTGTACATTTAATGGCGCGCTCGGTACGTGCTGTGTTTTCAAGCGATATTTTTCATCGTGGATGATTTCCGTGATGTATGTTGACTCTCTTCGCCGTTCCGATTTAGTTCGGGATGTAGAAAATTTTGTGGTAATTTCTCGTTAGAGATAAAGGACACTTTTTTGCGCGAACTTCGACGAGGGCGGTCGGCTGCTATTTAATGACTTTACACGGAGGGAGAGCGCTCTTTTGTACTGCCAGTACGACCCATTTACGCTTCGTTATGCTTCGTATTTTATTTATGACTCCTAACACGTTGTTATTAATTGTTAATTAATATTAATAAATCTATACATGTGCCACGCCGACGCGTCCCTGTCTCTTGATACTCCGCCGCGATTCGAGAGCGCTCGGTGTCAGCGCACTGTCAATGAGAAATCACTCGAATAATCATTCGCTAAATTCTCCAGACATTTTGACACGTATTGTCACGCAGTATCTCATCTGGCATAAATTGAAACCGGAATAAAAATTTCCAGATTTATCTAAACTCGCCAGGGAAAAGCAGGGAAAGGCACTGGACGGATTAGAAAAGAAAGAAAATGAGAAATTCACTGTCGGGCCGAAAATTCACGGGGCAAATAATTCTTAAGATCGTTTTGTTAGGGGGAAATGTTATTGACATTAAATGATTGCCCAATTGACACTCTGGCAGCGAAATTGGTGTGCGACACCGAACGCCCTCGACTCCTCTCGGTGTTGATACGATCGAGAGGATCTTCGACCGCGATCGTTCCGACCGATCGGCGGGATCGACGGATCCAGAAGATGAAAATCGGATGATGAACTCCTTTCTCTTCGAAAATCCAGGAGTCCGATTCCGGTCTGACGAGGACAGTGCGATCGCGCGACACTTCTTTACGCATTTCAGACAGTACCGGTACCTACGGTAACACAACTTGTTGATATTAATATCGTAATTGTTGTTCTTGCTCGTGACGTCGAACGATCGCCCGCTGTTAATGGACTCTTGTACGGAACACGACTATCCACTTTCTAATCTAATATCATATCTTAACATCGATAGTGTCTAAAAATGCTGAGATAAGCACGGTATAACGTCGTTAGAATGTTGAAAAAAATTGTGTAAAAAATAAATAACGTGCCTCGATTTATAGAGGTAATTCCAGATTATTTGTTGGTACGTGAGAAAATGTAAATGTTCGTTAACAATTTTTTTCAGTGGCGGTAATTTATTGGATGTCGTGTTCCGTAAGGGTGACTCGTAACGAAGTGTAGTCATTAATCGAATGAGATGTACGAGAAATCGTTATCATGACGCTTTTCCTCGTCGGATTGACGCTTTGCGTGCTTTGGCGGTATTACGAGAGCATCCCTTAATTTTAACCAACACAAAACACCATGGGGAAGGAGCCACCGACGCGAATCATTACACACACCCATCATTCTCATCCCGACGAAACAGTTCGTACATAGTAAACTCCTACGAGGACACAGCGGACGTAAGCAGCGGTTACCATTGTCAATCGTGTAAGAGCAACATGTATGATGAGCACAAGATTGCGATAATAAATATCTTTCCTAGAACTAAACGGCATCCTTTGTACTTGCTTCGCCCACGACGGAAACACGTTTTCGCGCCACGAGGTCGACAAAATTTGGGGATCGAAGGGGAAAAAGAAAGTCTCAGAAATGGACCCTGGAACGGATTTCGGCGAGCCCTGTCGAGGAGGAAAATTGACACCAAAAATACAAATAAGGACCAGAACCATCACTCTTGATCAAGAGTCTGGATCGTCCTAATGTTCCAATATTACATCTGTCGTCACATGTATCGGACATTTTGTACTCATTCTTCCTTTTTCATTTTTCAAGCCGAACATTTATTCCGTCCTGCTTTCATTTTCACTGTCTGCATCGACTCCTGTCATCCGCCGACGTCATCCCGGACGTGTCCAATGGACGTTTCGGTAAGTCAACAATCTCTTTTCCAATTAACTCGAAGACGTTTGATGCAGTTTTTATACGGATGGCCATTCCAGAACGTCTCCTCGAGTCGAAAGCTCGATGACGCGAGGTAATCGAGAGGCGTTAAGCCTTTCGACAGGGAAGGTAGAGATAGCTTTAGAAAAACCGACCCATCCTCGACGACCGGTTACGAAACCCTATCCATCGACGTAATGCGAGATCTTGTAAATCTTAGGTAATCTCCTGGACGAAAACGAAGTTCTGGACTGGATGACGAAGCAGAAGAACGATGCGAGCATCGAGGAGATCGATCGAGAGACGCTCTTCAAGTACATCGAGTCCAAGGAGTTCCTTGCCGTCGTCTTCTGTAAGCCGCTCAGTTCTTGGATTCCGAAATGGAGAACGAGAAGATTCGCAAATTGACAACTCCACGAAACTTCGCTTATCGCGAGATTTCAATTTTACGTCAATTTTTCTCTGTATCGCCACTAGGTTCTTAATTATAAATTAATAAATTTCTGTTCGACCAGACAAAGAGGAAGACCCTGAGAGCCCCAGAGTACTCCGGCACATCGAGCTGATCGACGACGAAGCTGCAGAGTACGGCATCAAGATCGTCCAGATGACCGACCGACTGATGGCCAAGAAGTATGGATTCCGGAACCCACCAGGCATCACCTACTTCCGGAAGGGAAAATACATTAATTACGACGGCGACATCGACGACGAGGAGGAGATCCTGGACTGGCTGACCAACCCGGAGAACATGGAGCTGACCGACCACATCGAGCGCATAAATCGCAAGATGTTCGACAAGGTTCGCCAGACCTCCGACTACCTCGCCGTCTTCTTCTGTAAGTGGCTCTTCTGCAAGAACGATAAATGCCCTCGGCACCCCCTAGACCAGTCGCGGATACATTGCACATGTGTTCAGACAGCAACGACTGCAAACAATGTAGCCGCGTCCTGACGGAGATCGAACACATCGACGACGAGGCTGACGGAGCTGGGATCAATTTCGTCAAGATCGACGACAAACAGCTGGCCAAGCAGTACGGAGTCTTCGCGTTGCCTGGCATCCTCTTCTTCAAGATGGGGTCCAAGGAACCGGTCATCTATGCAGGTTACTGTGCACCCCGCAAACGATGCCCCTTTTCCGTTGATTTTGCGCACCTTAATGAATTTTCATATAATTACACATCTTTTATTAAAATCCGCGTTCATTAAGGATAAAACATAGGACGTGAGTGAAAGAAAATCAGATGTTTCGCGACGGTGTCTCGGGATAATATTTTTCCTATTGTTTGAGGAGGGCGGAACTGTAGAGTGTTTCTTTGAAATGGTTGGTGCGATGTTTGCAGGAGACTTGTACGACGAGGAGCAGCTCCTGCAGTGGCTGATGACCCAGAAGGACCCTTCCGGCGAGGTGATCGAGGCCCTGGAGGGAGAGGAGCTCCTGCACCTAATTCGAGAGTCGGATTCCCTGGCGGTATACTTCTGTAAGTCTGACAGTCCCTCAGCTGCCGCTGCCAACTGCGAAGCAGGAACGTAATCTCTAGCCTCCGAAAGGGATAAATCAGGAAATTGTCAGATTTTTGGCCGTCTCGTGCTTGCGCTTCGTCGCGACAGCCGAGGCCGAGGCTCGCTGTCAATCGCGGCCATTCTCTGTCGGGATCGCCGCGGAATTGCGAGCCTCCGCGGATGTTTGCGAATTCGCAGCTGGCTTCCGGCGATCCGCCAAAATAACATCGCAACGACGAGCCTTGACGAGAACCCACGTCACCCCCCAAATCTCCTCGGAACGACGCTTTTGAGGTCGATGCGACTCGCTTCCGGTTTCCGCTTTCTCGTGAGACGCGCCGCAGACTTAACACGCCTAGCGCTCTCTTCCTCCCCGAATTGTCTGTCCGACCCTCCGCCACTTTCTTTATCTTTTCTCTCCCCGGCCCTGCCCTCCCCGTCTTTTCTCTGTCTCTTTCCGAGCTGTATACTGTGAACTAATGCCGTAGGGAACAAGACGCTTTGCGACATGTGCCAGTCGAAATCGTACCGCAAGCAGCTGCGCCATAAACAGGAGCAGAAGACCACCGACTCCGAGAAGGCCGAAAATCTCGAGGGTACACCATCAAGACAGATTAATAATGTTGTCCTCCCGTTGACAGTCTCTTCTTGGTCCTCCCTTTTTCCTCCCTCTCATTCTCTCGCCTCCGAGCCCCTCCGCCTTCCTCTTGCTCTTTCAACTCGTTTCTATCAAGAAATTTTTCATATCAGTATTTACCCAGTATTTAGATATTTCTAACATGTGGAAACACGTATCTCTTAACAGATATTGAAATTGAAGCTTTTTTTCATCTTTTAAGGGAAAAGAAGAATTTTCGTAACGGGTGAAATATGTCACGCCAGTGATATCGGTGAAAGTGTATAAATTATTTCAAAGATGTTTTGTTTGACAAATCTCACGTGTAACGATTATGGAAATTCTTGAGAACGGTGAATTTGGTTGAACTTGAATTTATTTAAAAAGTAGAAGCGGAGACGAATGGAGCAAGACATGCTTGCGCATGTACGCCACGCAATTCCGCAGCCTGCATGAGTACTTGTGAATAATTCCGTACAACACGCAGGACGGTTCTCTGGTATATGAAGGAAATATATGGAAATATTTTGTTCTCCAAGAATACCACTGAATCAACCCGTGACGTTCTCAGCATGTATCAATTGGTGTTCGCTATCGCTGTTATGTCGACATAGGATGTAATTAATTACCAATTACACAAAGCCTTTATTTCGGCAGTGATGAGTACGGTTTACGGTTGGCATACACGTATAAGACATGTCCATTGACCGACATGTCACCCGATTCGACCAACACGTGACATAGTAGCAGTTTGGTAGTTTTGCAGTGCGATGACCCGCGACAGCAGACAGCATCATCGACAACAACTGACAACGGCATCGTGAACATATTTTCCATGCAAACAAGAACTTTTTCGGCTCACAAAACACCACCTAAAACACATTTATATGGACAATATCATAACACTTCTCAGTGGAACAAATTCATTCGATGCTGAAGCACTATTATTCGCACATGACGACTACTCTATGACGTTCCAATAATGATGTTCTAACAATTTGGTGTTTCCTTCAGATGGCGACGAGTGTAGTCAGTGTGCAGGGATCCTCGAAGAGCTGGAAAATATTGACGATGACTGCGACAGACATGGAATCACGTTTATCAAGACTCAGGTAAAAATGTTTTTTTGTTTTAGAGCAATTCTTGACTCCATTCTAATTTCTCCATTTTTTATTCAAAGGACTATAAAGTCGCCGAGGATTATGGAGTCACCGACTTCCCGGTTTTGGTCTACTTTGAAAACCAAACGCCGAACGTTTTCGAAGGTTCGTACGAGCTTTGGATTTAACAATTAATTAAGAAGTTAATGGGAATTAAATATGTATTTTCATTTTTTTGTGTTTATACTTTCAGGAGATCTAGCCGAAGAAGAGGAAGTTCTCCAGTGGCTGATCACTCAGAAAACGGAAGACAGGATCGAATTGATCACCCGGGTCATGCTCGAGGCATCCGTCGAAGATACGCAGTACCTCGCGGTTTATTTCTGTAAGCGAGTTAATACTATTGTTGAAATATTTCCTATAGTGATTCGATGCTTTACAGATAAGCAGAACTGCCATATTTGCGACGAAATCCTGGAAGAACTAGAGAAGATCGACGACGAATGCGATGTCTTCGGTATTCACATGGTGAAGATTCAGGATCCGCAGCTCGCAAAGCGCTATTCCATCAAGACATTCCCAGCGTTGGTTTATTTCCGAAATGGCAATCCTCTCCTATTCGAGGGTAAATAAAAATAAATTACAGTAAATGAAAGTAAATATTCCCAAACGGAGGATACATTTAAAAATTAAATTTTCTGTAATTTATAGGAGACTTGCAAAACGAGGAGTCCGTCCTTGAATGGCTGATCGATGACGACAATCGAGAGCTGGCTGACGAGATCGAATCCGTCAATGAGAGGATGCTGGAACGTCTTCTCGACGAATCTCCGTTCCTCGCAGTCTTCTTCTGTACGGTGATAAAATCTGAAGATATATTCTCGTTAAGTTTTAGCGGCGACAATCGACGATAATCTTTTCAGACGACGAAGACTGTCCGGAGTGCGACGAAATAATGGAAGCTCTCGAAAAGATCGACGGCGAGGCCGACCTCTTCGGCATCGATTTCGTCAAAATCACCAGTCCGGAAGCCATGGAGAAGTACGAGGTCGTGAACGTGCCCTCGTTAGTGTACTTCCGGAAGAAGACTCCTTTGATCTACGACGGTGACCTGACTCAGGAGGACAAGATCTTGCAATGGCTCACCTCGCAGGATGTCTTCGAGATCAAAAACGAGATCGAGGAAGTCAACAGAAAAATGCTCGATAAACTGCTCGACGAGAACGAATTCCTCGCTGTCTTCTTTTGTAAGTCAAACCTGGAAACCTCTCTCGCATTTTATCCATTTAATCAATTTTCGCTTCCCCAGACGAACACGGCAGCACAGAGAGCGAAGAGGTCAGCGAGAGACTCGAGAACATCGACGGCGAGACGGACAACCTAGACATAACTTTTGTGAAAATGGCGGATCCTCGGTATGCTCGCAAATGGGGTGTCACGAAACTGCCTGCGATCGTCTATTTCAGGAAAAGGTTTCCCAGCATCTTCCGAGGTACGTTTCTTCGAGTACTCCTCCTAATAAAAATGAATTCCCTCTAATCCCATTCATGGGAAATGATTCATAACTGCGTCCAATTCAGCCCACTGCAGCTGCGGTATAAATTCATGATAAAAAATCATTAATTCTATGTTAACATAGTGATGGCCAAAATCGATTTTGGCCTTAATATTTTTCCAAGTCCAAGACCGATTTCACTCGTTACAATTATAATATTCTATCTTGACGTTCTACTCGACCGGCATGGACCTTTCAGGTGATCTCCGCAAGGAAGAAGACGTCCTCGACTGGCTGCGCAAAAACCGCTTCCGGCAGCCCGAGCTCAACATCTACATGTACATGCTGATCGCCATAACGATCCTGTTCCTGATGTACACGGGGTTCTTGCTGTCGTGCTTCCGGTCGGATAGCCCCTCGCCTCCTGCCCACCCGAAGCAAGCGTGAACCGGAAGTGAGGCCGAGAGCGCGTGGACTCGAAAAGGAGCGTCGCACGATCGTTTCGCTGCAAGCGGCATTGCATCGATAACGCTCGTTGACGACGTTCGATCTCGGTGACGATCCGAGGCCGGAAGTCGCAAGCTCGCGGGACCAATAGGGCTCTTTCTCTTCGACCCTCGCCGATCGGCCGCGATACATTCTCACCAGATCCAAGAAACGCATTATTCCAGACGTGCGATCGAGCGAATACGCCGCAGCGCGCGGAGATGCGGCTGCGAAAAATTCCCGCAGAAGCACTTGCCGCGCGGAATCGCCGTTTCTGTCACCGCCGATAGGCGTGTTCTCCGCAAGGACGTATCTCGTGCGAGATAGATAGGTACATAGGGATTTAAATTACGGACTCGACGGAGAACCCGGACGAGTCTCGACGCAGAATGCAGCGCCGAAATACTTGACGATTTCGAGAATGGTGTGACAATTGCCACTGGGAAATAATTCCTGAGATGGAGACGATAATGGAGGATGAAGTGCTGGTTGCTGGAAATTGGCCTCGATTCTAGAGATTTTCGCGGTACTCTCGTCGAAGCGGACATTATGGATGTACGTACCATAGAGATCGTCGATTTGGAAAAAATCACCAATATGTATTGTATTTAGAGGAAGTGAGACACTATTCTTCGATGGAATCAGGTGTTCCAGCGCGATATCTCCTTGAAATATTTCCCTTTGACGAAGTCCGACGACACTGTCGTAACTTTCGGTTCTACGAGAATGTATTACACGTGACGGAACGTTTCCTCGTGTAGAGAGAGAGAGAGAGAGAGTATAGTGACGAGATTTTACTACTATTTATTCGCAGTAATCGCTCACCGTGTGACCGGCTCATCAATGGTTTACCAATTCATCCCGAGTCATGTAAATATACAGCTAGACGAGCCTATTCTATTTCTTGTTGACACGTTTGACAGAATTAATCAATGTTACCTGTGCTACCTTCACGAATAAAGGAATGAACCCTTCGACCAACTTGCCGGCTTTAATTAAGCTTGCGCGTTGCCGGAGCTTCTCTTCGTTTCTTTCTTTTTTTTTTTTTTCTTTTGAGATAGATCACCTCGGACTTAAACACGGTTTATTTTCCATTCATTTTTTTATCATTTCCAAACATCAGTTTCCTTTCTTCCATTGAGTTCCTTTGTACTTCTCAATCGAAATTCGTTCACCGAGCCCATGCAATGCGCAACTTACTCGCAACCGATTGTATATACAGCTGTAAATAAAGAATTGCCAACTGTGGTATAACAGAATGTCTATAATCGGAGGTGACCGGTACCAATAAATCTATAAACTTTACCCCTTTCTGTTTAATTTTGTTTCCACTACGTATAACATTTTCTCCGCGGACGTCACAACACCCTCAGGAATAACTTTTAGGTATTTCCCTTCCTTTTTCAGCCACATCCTTTACTATCATTCCACCAACTTCTATCAAGTCTTACGTTACGCCGCTTTTTCCACTGACAAGGCAATACCAATTTACACCCAGATATCAACGAAATTTTTAACGCAAATAACTGAAAAATCGAGACCCATTAAAATGAATACTCAGACACGTGTCTGCATTAACTTAAGATTAACCTGCATAAAGCTCAGTTAATATCGCGAGTTCAATTAATGAATCCATATTTCAATTTAATAATTCGTTAGTCCAATCTCTGTTGTATCGGGTTACTTAACGCGTGATGAGTAATCTCCCAATTCCTGATAATTACCAAATTAATTCTCAGTTAGCCTAATTTTTGTTTTTGTCGGTGAACCCGAATTTCACTGATCCGAGTTTAACTAACGGCGGTTCAAATCCAAGTTAATCAATATCGGTGCAATCGACCAAAGATCTGCACAATATCGGCACTTTCAACCCCCTGAGGTCTGTAACAATCGCAACCCTCAAATGACGTACACGCAGGGGTTGCACCTGACGTCGTACCGGCAACTGCCACCAGGTAGAGCCCGCACCTGCGCACCGAAGGTACCTCTCTCGGTAGACGCGCCAGGTGCGACGGCTCGGTGTCCGCGTGGCAATCCCGGAAACACCCGAACGTAGCCGAAGTCTTACGAAGCGCACCAACCGAGCGCCAGTTACGCGTCGACCCTCGTGCCGTGCGTTTCGCCGCTTCCGCCTCTAACGGGTGAGTGATCGATTTCCCCTAATATACCCCCTCGCCCAATTTCTCAATCTCCTTGAAACACTTCGTTCTCAAGTTTCCGCGTATTCCAACGAGATTCGAAAACGCCCTTTGTCACCGCGGGAAAATTTGGCAAATAGTTGCGATAACGAGACCGCGTTCTCGCATTATCAGCGAAGCGACCGAAAGAGATATCTATAAGGCCGATTGTATTTACTCGGTGCCAGGAGAACACCTTCAATAACATCTGATGCGATGAGACTTATTCGTGTATTTCCCGAATTGGAAATTTTTACCGAGAATGGAAACGCTGTCAATATGTTTAGTTTGGCGAAAATATATCGGAAAATAATTCGACTGAAACGTGGACTAAATTAAGATTAAATTAATTAGTAAATTTTTAAGAACTCTCATGGGCCGATCGTATTTTTTATTTATTTATTTTTTGAAATAACTTTTGTACTGAGAGAATAAATTATCACTTAGTTGGTTTGGGTTTAGTTCTTCATTCTTTTAAGTACGTCATTATCGAGAAATTACGGTGAGGCCTTCAAGATGTATCCCGTTTTCTTTGTTTTCGTTTTTCAACATCTCTCGGAAGTCATGGTAGTATTAGAATGTTAAGCGAAGCATCACTTCGACCGGTTATGAGAAAGACGTTATTTAACTGTAATTACGTAGTTACTGCGCTACTTCACTCCAATCATAAAACAAGGTTGTAATTAGACGACACTATAAACGTGTAATTAATAAGCACATAATGACAGTAGTTTACTAGTTGGTTGAGAGAGAGTTGATATTAATTTCTAGCAAACCCTTAAAAACATTGGTAATAACGCGTGCAATTGGAATAGTAATTAAACCGTATCTGTGCATTCCTAGTCGGGCAAATACTTCTTCAGTGATAAAAAAAGAATTCGGTACCTTTGATACTTTCCCAAAATGTAAATTCCACAGACCGTTAACGAGAAATTGTCGCTAAAATTAATTACCCCAGAATTAAATTCTTAATCTCAATCTCAGTCTCACCTATCACGATCTCAATTAGACACTCAGCTATGACATGCAGCAAGTAACCGCGTAATACGGTTTAATAACTGGAGGATGCAAATAACTTGATATCAAATCACAATAAATATTGCAAGCGACCGCAACAACGAAATCCGATTATTCAACTTTCAATTAAAAAGCAAATGCATTAATTTGCGCGACGATTATCGCAAAAATGATCTCCAAATAATCAGTATCATTTCTGAACGCCACGAATCTATAGCTATCAACCTCACGATCGATTACCCGTTCGATGACGAATTTACCTTGGGCAACTCAACTAGCCCGATACATTTGCTCTCGCGACATAAATGTCAGTGTACACGCACTCACGAACAATTTTAATATCGGACTTTTCCTGGCATTTCAAAGCGATAAGCCAGGGCAATTAACCACGACGTATCAATTTCTGTACCTTAGCTACTCTCATAACCAACCATAATTAATTTCATCGCTTCGGTACTTGGAAAAAAAAATGGAACATTACTTCGTCGTCTATTCGCCTCTCGCTCGCAGCCGTCAACTCGCTCTTTCCGTGCAATTACCAAATGCTCCAATTTAATCGACCTAGTTCGGCGATTATACCCGCGCCGATAGCTATAGGGATTCGGTAATATAACGAATATCAGGGGCATTTTCTCGGAATGCATTTCCCGGGGACTGCAGCAATTCTCGTCACGAGATCAGCTGACGCATCCGTGACCCGCGCCATGGCGAATTCGAACCCGAGGACGGGTCGCCGATGCACTTAGCTCGAATCGGGCATTTATCCTCGTAACCTCGTAACGCGAGCCTCGGTGCTGACTCGCAAATAGATAGTTGTACCGTGACCGATGCAAAAAAATCTTTTTACGCTGATGCACCGCGCTCTCCTTTCCTCCATATAAGGTGTCCGCTCTTGACGAGGGAACGCGCGAGCGAGGGAACACGCGATGCCTCGACGTATATTCGCGGGATCGCGAAACGCGACTAGCCAATGAAAACTGCCCTGATTACGAGTAACGAGCGACTAACTCGAGCCTGCTCCAAACGAAGGTAGACGTCAGGACGTTTGCCACTTTGTTGCGCTCGTGCAACGCGGCCGAAGAAGCGGGGCGCTCGGTAATAAATTTGAATATCAAAGAAGAATCGTATACAGGATGTAGAGATTTTCTGCACGATTTTCTTTTACTCCGTTCTTTTAGAGGAAATCTATTACATTTATTTTACGTAACGTATAGGTAGGAATATATTATTTCTCGGGCGAATCGTCTACTCCCCGAAATACGTGATCAAGGATCTCGAGCTCGCCCGTCTCCCGGCCGTTTCTCTTTGATAAAGACGATTAAATTTATACGATTTCTGATTAGATAAGTGCACCGAGAGGCAGTGTAGAGTCCCTTGTGCCTTTAACTGGCCGATTAGTCGAAAGCACCGCGCTGGAATTTTTTCTGATAATCGCTCACGTCTCGAACGCAACCTGCAATTGCGAGTTCTCTGGGAGATCTACTTTTTTTTTTCTTGCACCTTGAAAATCCAAGAATTAGATACTGGTGCAAAGACTCGGCAGTGTCACATTAATTTTGACTGGATGAGAATTATTAGATCGCATGCGCACCCCGATAATAAATTGTTTTACGTGTACGGTGACGCCAACCTATTTTCTTTGCGGTAATTGTACAAATCGGCGCGATTGTCTGGCGGAGTCTAGGAGTATACGCAGGACAGAGCGAGGCTTGAGAGATATAAGTCAAGGAACAATGAGACGAATGCGGAAGGGAGAGAACGCATGCTTGTATGCGTGAGTCGGCAATGTCAGTCTCTGCTGTCTAGCGACTCGCCTTCAGATTTAACGACTCGCTGTCCTTTTAGAGTCTTCAATCGAAGTGGAACGATTCGCGTGGGTAGATACCCGGAGGATGATGAGACTCCGCCGAGATCGCTTCCCGCTGATTGTTTCTCCGCCATTGTCTTTTTGCTCCGTTCATTGAACGATCGCAGGAAGCAACGAGTGTCCCTCCTTTCATGATTTTTTCTATTTTTTCTTTCTTTTTTTTTCGAGAGCGGAAACGCTACATCGACCTGCCCTATCAGCTGATCCGCCTTCCGGCTGCTCGATCTCCTCGTTATCTACTAAATACTCACGAAAGTATTAAATTAATTTCTCCATCGGTATGAAAATATTGACACTCGGTTTTTTTTTCTTTTTTACCACAATTCTCTTTAGAGCTCACCGGTTCATCGTTCTTCAAATGCCGTGCATCTGTGTCTCCTCTCGCCGCGTTTCCAGAATATTAACCTCCACTCTTGGCGAACAATGGGCGACCCTCGTTTTGTTAGCCCTTCTTCCGGTTTTTCACTGATTTTACGAGGGACATTATTAACATTTTGTGAGCCGCTTCCTCCCGGAAGCGAGCGCCGCGGGTGAGTTGGCTCGCCGGAAGCGGACGTGCACTTTCAGCCATTGTTGGGCCAAACGATACAAATTTCTCCCTGCATGGCAGGAATTGGAAACCGGAAATTATCACGTCTGTGTGGACACGCGCGTATTTCATACTCTATGGAAGCACTCGGTGTCAAATAGTAATGACGACGAATCCAAAAATAATTTCTTCCTGTTGTACCAGTTTCCTAGGAATTCTCGTAATTCTTTAGCAATGCTTCCAACTACTCGTACGGCATTGTTGGAAATCAGGTCTCCTCGATTTTCGTCCGCTCGTGGGAAGTGAAAACGGAATCGGGAGCTTATGGAAAGTTTCCTGGCGAGCGGAAACGGAATCAGCCGGTTCCACTCAAAGAAAAGTCTCGGCTGTGAGCTCTCACCCACCTCGTGTGGCGAAATCGCACTCTCGATTTCGATTCCAGCCATTGTCCGCGCAACAAAGGCTACCGATCCGGCACACGAGGCTCGAGCCGTGAGAGTTTCCTTTTGATTCTCCCCTGAAGAGTCCTCGGTAAACGAGGACGGAGAGGCACCTCTTTCTCTCTCGTCTCTTTTCCTCGCCTTGAAATCGCCGACAATTATTACCGACAATTACCTAGTCGAAATCGAGGAATCTCCACGTTGGGACACGATCAAGAAGTACCTGGGATAAAAGACATTGTCGCCGTTGCTTAAACGAGAACGACACTTTCCACTGTGACGATAAGCGATACAATTGTCATCTAGGAAGTTAGATTCGTTATCCTAATTCGTACGCGTGAAAACGCGTTACGTAGAATTAATAAAAAATAATCATCCACCTGAGTCGTTCCCTTCATACCCGTGAAATATAATGTTATATGATTAATTCGTGGAGAAATGAGTTTCTCGCCGAAATGATCCGAATTTAGTGTCTAGAATTATTTAAATTTCGTGGGAGGGGGGCCCGCGAAACTCGGAATTATTTCACGCTTCCCGGGTTAGTATAAATCAGGGTGATAAGCGTGTCGATTCGTACTTGCGATTTTTTGCTTATGTAAGTACAGCGAAATAATTACCGTAGGAACAGAAATTAATTTCTTGCCGAAACAATCCGAATCTCGTGCAGAAATGATTTAAATTTAGGAGCTTAAATGAATTAAATCATTTTTTATAGATGGGTCGGAAAGATTCGAAATTATTTCACCCTTCTCAGGACAGTATTAGTCACGGTGCAGAGCGTGTCGATTCGCATTTGGGATTTTTCGCTTGCATAAATGCGGATAAATAATTATTGTATTGGCTGAAGTGAATTCTTTTTCTTTTTTACCGGAAAACTCCGAATTTCGCGTAGGAATGATTTAAGTTTAGGAATTATAAATCGATTAAACAATCTTTCCCGGGAGGGCCCGCAAAAGTAGGAGTTATTTCACGCTCTCCAAAACGGTGAGTCAGAGCGCTAAGTGCGCGCGGTTCGCACTTGGGATTTTTCGCTTGCATAAGTGCAGATAAATAATTATCGTAGCAGCGCCGACAGAACCGGGAGACTTTCTGCCGGTCGTCTCGGTCTCCGGGTGAAACCCAAGCTCGCCTCCGACTCGAGTCCACCTTGCGTTGCACCGAGCTCGCGTTAGATGCACACCTAGAGAGCGAACCTATGAACAACGCGGTGGAAACTTTTGCAGACCTATGCAGACTTATGCACCGAGCCCATCCCACGCCCTCGTGGAGTTCGTTTAATGTCTCGTGCCAATGACAAGCTGGATGACGGGCGCGATCGTTGGGCGAAGGTCGCTTCAATTGAGAGATCCGCCCCGGTGGGCTCACCTTGGATGCACATGCATCTGCGAGCGTGCACCGGAGATAAAGCATTGAAGAACAAAAAAGACATTCTTTTTTCTTTTTTTTTTTTCATTGTACATTTATTTTCCCGGGCGATACATATGAGAATCTTGTACGACGGCGTTGAATATTTACTCGGCGACGATGTTCCCAGGACTCCAATCTGCGACACCCACGTGTTAGCGATGAGTAAGCCAACTCAAACCGTATCGGCGTTATCAGGCCTGGATGATCTACGTGGCGCCATTTTGACTTCTCTCGTCGGCAAGATAAATCCACGACTCTCCTTTGTTAGCACCTGGAAGAGATCGTTCCTACTGGGAAAATACTAATTTCATAATCTGGGGATTAATGCGCGAGGATTGCGATCGATAAGGGGACTAATAATCTCCAGGGAGGAGTAAATGCCGTGCTTGAGTCATTTGGAATGACTGGAGGTAGATAGAAGTCATTTTCGGAGCAATTTCTTCCGTCTCCTTTCTCCTCGGAGGCGAAGCCTGACCTTTCGCGCTCAATTGCGAAAGTTTTCCAGAAAGAGATGTCAGAAGACGCGAGTCAATTTTCCGACCGATTTCTTCGTCCGAGAGTCTCTTCCCTCCCCTTGGGGAGATTCTGCCGTCTTTCCCGAAGACTCGGGGTCGTCGGCCGCGCTCGCGGAGGTCTCGGCAAGGCAGCGCTAATCGGCAAATAAATCCGTTGTCGGGACTCTAGGGGCATCGTTGTCGCGACACCGCGCCGGGAAAGTCCTGATCGACTCCCTCGACAAGGTCGAGGTCGGCGAAGTTCCCGCGACTTCCCCCAGGGCGTTACGTGGTGCGTAATACGCACCGAAGAGGCGTGACTACTTGCGCCGACGAAGTAAATGGCCGGGCCGGGTTCGGTGACCGTAACCGAGAGGCAGCATGTAACGCCACAAATCCCCCGTCACTTTCGCCCGAAGAAACGGGTCCCTGGAAAGTCAAAACCGTCATCGAGGATCGGGCCCGAGGAGGGTTACGTCACCAAAGTCGCCGGCTTTAACGGTGCGTGACGTCCGGAGATATCCCCGTTATGGGAGTTCCAGTTCGTCTAGTTTTGCATCCCCGAGAAAACATAAAATGGAACCGCTTCCTCCTTTCCCTATTTTCCCCTGTTTTATCCTGTTTCATCCTCTTTCTCCTATTTATCCTGTTCTTCGAAAAAAGAAAAAATTTACTTACGGTGTCCCCTGCCGCCATTCTTCGCGACTGCGCGGGGGAGACTGATCTACCCTAACCTCTTCTATCCCGCATCCCCCTCCGCCGCGGCCTTGGCCCCCCGGGGAGCCCTTGACCCCGAAGCGGAACCAGGAGATTTGTCACTTCCTTGGAGCCGGACCACTGATTGGCCGCTGATTGGCTGCGCGGCGCGCGTGCGCGCGCCGACCCGCGTCTCCTGGATCGCGTGTGAACGGCACCTGCGCGGCCCCTCACTCGGTCCCGCGCGGCCCCGGGGTGCGCACGGCGGGGGCGCGGTGCGCATCATGGGTGCGCACCGCGCCCTTTGTCCAGGGTCGAGGCGGGCCCGATTCCGCTGGCGGACTCGACGCTGGGCATCGGACCGATTCGGGGCCCGCCATCCAGCTTCGAGCCGCGTCGGCACGCGTGCCGTGACAGATTGCCGGCTCCGTTACGGCACTTTGCCACTCCATAATAAGGGAAGGATGTTCCGCCGAGACTCCACAACTATCTCGCCAATGTACATATGATAATCCGGAGGAAACAGAAATTACTACACTTTTGATGTATGCGATAAGGTATATATCCGTACCTTGGGAAAAGTCACTCGGCGGGGTTGGGCAATCGTGCCTGGGACTTCGAGGAACAATGGCCTTAAGGAACTGCAAAATGATACGCCTGGGCACGGGGGTGTACCGTAATGGGGTTATGCTCGTGAATTATGCTCCTGGGTGTGAACTTGAATTCTTCGAGGCGAGGGAGGGATTTTCCGGAAGTCTCGAGAGAGTGGGAACGGTTGGGAAGGATTTATGGCTTGTTGCTTGAAGAAGAAACCGCAACGTGGAATTGCCGCAGGGAAATCCTGCGGTGATGGTACCGAATCTTAGAGTCGAGTAACTGCAACTGATTGTTGACTGGCATGTGGGACACGGGATGCATCGCGATGCTGGAACTGGAACAAAGCTTGTACGGTATTCTGGCATTAGAGCGATGTCTGGGATCGCGTCGTCCTGGGCCGACGTCGGAGGCTTTTCGAGGGACCTCTCCCTCTTCTCTCCTCGTCCGCGGCTCCGGGCACAAGAACGCCAGAGACCGTCGTGCAGCAGCTGGCCGTTACAGCTACTCGAGAGAAAAGGGTGAACGAACCGAAAGATTCGTTTCTTCTCCTCGGGAATCGCGAGGCGCCAAATTACTCCTGGCGGCTTTACCGTTACGGCCTCATCTGCCGGAGAAAAGCGACTTAGATCTAAATCGAGGAAAGAATTTCACTGAAGATGTTCACCGAATTCGTGACTGTAAGGAAAAAGGAAAGACAATTAGCCGATGACTCTGCCAGGACACATATCGAGACCCGATAGAGCCGAAAGGAATTTCTCCATTTTATTTCGAGAGGGCATTCACTCGGGAAATCATGAATCTCAATACTCGGGATCACATGGAAATCAGCTGAAAATCGCTAGGGAAATCACCAAAACATTGGCACTATTTTATAGCCGACCGTCACTTGTTACCGAATCGCATTGTTGTTTGGCATATGAAATTAATGGCAATCGGTTCTCAAGGAAGCGAATCGTCTTCACGAATTTCCGAGTGAATGGCCCCTAGAAAATCTCCAGTTTTTAATTTACGGGATTCGGGAAATGTCCTCGATCGTTTTATAGAAGAGGACTGATGCTAATGGAACGTACAAGAAACGCTGGGCGACATTTAGAATGGCATTTGCAAGAAAAAATCGAGGGCGCACGACATTTCGATTCGTCGCGTTCCAGTGGGTCTTGCGTAAGGTCTGGTTACGACCGAGATCGTCGACCTAGTGTTCACGGAATGAGATCGTACGATCGGTATCGAAACAACGGGCTGTATGGTCTGGTATCTATTGCCCGATGTTCAGGGAACAACGGGGAAATTCAACCGCGGGGTCCTGACAGCGACCTAACGTCCTGACAGGGCCACTGTACTAGAAGAAACGGGTTATCCGCGGTGACCAAGTTTATGGTCGCGTTTGACTAGATCGTCCGAGAGACTGGTCTCCCTTCTGCGACTGTATTTCTTGCAGAACGCTCGACTTCTCCGGGAATTAACGATCCCTTCTAATTTCCATATAATGACCGAAATTCCGAAATTCCTTGGAACGGATACCCTTCGGTAGGTGTAGAGGTACCGCCATCGGTGTTCGTAATGAAAATAATTGCATCGATTGGAAGATAGATTTTGGCGAAACCGTTTCAAGGGATGGTCGACAAGATCTGGAAAAGCGATCGAACGAATCGTTTGGCCCTCCGAATAATGTGTCTTCAATGTCTTCGCGAGGCGGTCTTCTCTGAACTCGTGCGAAGCTCCATCGACCGGCGGGGCACTTTTATAGCTTCGTTGTCAATAACGCGTCCTATGCCTATTCCTAAGGCTTAAGCTAAACTGAATGAGGATTTGTTAATGCGGCGAGCATAAATGAACTTTTTTCGGCCTCTCGAAATCCCGGGAGTTATGCAACTATCTCCGCTCAAGGCTGCCTTTCGCTCGAGATTTTATTATCCCGTTTCTCCGCCTAGAAAAAGAGCGGTATATCTTTATATCTTGTACGTGTATGCAACTCGGTTATAGCTACGTATCTTTTTTTTATCAGAGGAGTCAACGTTCCGTTAGAAATTATATAGGTGTATTTTAGGAGTGAAGGTGATCGATCTTTTCAGGGAAGACGCGATGGAGAACCAACAAGTATGGGTCCGCGACCCTCAGGAAGGTTTCATCATTGGGAAATTCGCCGACATGGTGGACGGGGATGCTCTGATTGTTCCTCTGGACCCAAAGTACCCCCAACGCACTTGCCCCCTCGACGAGGTCTATCCTGCGGGGGAGTACACCAAAGACGTGGAAGACAATTGTAAGCGAGACGCATCAGTTGCCTGAATATCCCTGGAAAAATTATTAACCCCGGACTGTTAATTTCCCGTCGTAGGTGCGCTAATGTACCTGAATGAGGCGACCCTTCTAAACAACGTACGCGCCCGCTACTTCAAGGACAGAATATATGTAAGTTGTTAAAAGTCGAGGTATAGTTGAGCCGTAGAACGTTTTGCTCGTCTCGCATCGGGAATTCGTTTCCACTCAAAGTCTTACGTTTTCTGGATCGAATAAAGAAGGATTACCGGTCTCGGGTCGGCTTCGTTCTTTCATCTTGACGAGGGATGACATTAAGTAACCGAGTACGTACGGAAGGAGAGAGTAAACATTACGATTGCACTCTTACTGGATGAATTTATTTTGCGAGTACTCGATGTTATACCTCTCTGGGCATATTTTCTACGTTACAGACAATTGCTGGTTACTGATTGATCTAATCGATTTTCAGACTTACGTCGCCAACATCCTCATAGCTGTGAATCCTTACTGCGAGGTCAAGGATCTGTATTCCCCTCGCACGATCAAGGCTTACCAGGGGAAATCTCTCGGAGAGACACCTCCGCACGTTTTCGCCATCGGTGAGGCCGCAATTTCTCTTTCAACCGGCGATAAAGTTCTGCTCGATTGACGGACTGACTGTTACGATTGTTATTACACAGCGGACAAGGCTTTCAGGGACATGAAGGTCCTGAAGCAGTCGCAGAGCATCATCGTTTCTGGGGAATCCGGTGCCGGGAAGACCGAGTCGACCAAGTATTTATTGCGGTACCTCTGCGATTTATGGGGATCCACGGCAGGCCCGATCGAACAGAAGATCCTCGATGGTACGACTCGTTACATCTGTCTTACGATTGATCTCAGGTCGAACGTGAACGGAGAGATTTATCGGCAGGGTCCTGAAAATTATGCACGAAGTTAGTCAGTGTTACCGTAACGAAAAAGACATACGTGATCGCTGATAGTTTAATTCAATTTTAAAGGGAGGAAGAGTCACCGCGTTAACAGAATTTTAATACCAAACCACAAAATTGGTAAAACGTAACTTAACGCGTATTTGTCCTGCAGCGTACCGAAGATGAATATTTATAGCGACTCTCTAGACACGTGCATAGGTTTCATCCCTCTGTTAACAATTATTGTTATTTAATTCATCATTTTAGGGACCTGTAGGTCCATCTAATCGATGATAATCACTTTACAGCTAACCCCGTGCTGGAGGCCTTCGGAAATGCCAAAACGAAGCGGAATAACAACAGTTCTCGTTTCGGGAAATTCATGGAGGTGCACTTTGACGCAAAGTGCCAGGTTGTCGGAGGCTACATCTCGCATTACCTTCTGGAGAAGTCCAGAGTGTGTCTGCAGAGTCCTGACGAGAGGAACTACCACGTATTCTACATGATGTGCGCCGGGGCACCGCCGGAGCTGCGAGCGAAGCTCGGCATCACGAAGCCGGATGACTTCAATTACTTGAAGAATGGCTGTACCCAGTATTTTTGTAACGCAACCTCCGAGAAGAAGCTAAACGATGCCCAGAAGAGTCGGGAGCAAGTGACAATCGGCAGTCTTCATGACCCCATCCTTGACGACGTGGAAGGCTTCAACGCCATCGATCAGGTACCGATTATATAAATATTCTGAAACATTGACATCAATTAATTCAATTTATAAACTCTGATATTTGACTCGCCGCGCTGGACTACCGTTGTTTCCCGCAGGAAAAAGCAACGGTAATGAGTTGTGTTAATTAAAATAGTTAGACTAGTGTTTTTAGAGTGAACTTTTACCATTAAGGGGGTCTTTTACTTGACCTGCAATTATTCCTAGGCATTAACTCGTCTCGGGCTTTCGGATTCTGAGCGCATGGAGATTTACACGATGGTAGCTGCCGTTCTTCATCTCGGTAACATCACCTTCGAGGACAATCCCGAGGACACTAAAGGTGGATCCAGATTGACGGCGAGCTCTTCCAAGGCTCTGACGATGTCGGCCAGATTGCTCGGGGTCGATCCTGAAGAGTTGAGGCAGGCTTTGGTATCCAAGGTCATGCAAACCAGTCGCGGTGGAATTAAGGGAACTGTAATCATGTTAGTCTCCTTTAAGAACGTATCTCCGGTCATATACCGATATCAATGATTAATGAAAATTCATATTCATTACTCAGGGTACCTCTTAAGGTCTACGAGGCGAACAATGCCAGGGATGCTCTAGCAAAGGCTATTTACAGCAAGCTCTTCGATCATATCGTCGCTCGCATCAATAAGAGCATCCCCTTCCAGGCATCGAGTTACTATATCGGAGTGCTCGATATAGCCGGATTTGGTAAATGCAAATTCCTGTGAAAAAAAAAAAAAAAAGAAAAATTCAATACTTCGTTAAACACTGAATTGGAAGTAACGTTCACTCCCGTACCTGACTTTTTCAGAATACTTTAAGGTGAACAGCTTCGAGCAATTCTGCATAAATTACTGCAACGAGAAGCTGCAGCAATTCTTCAATGAGAGGATCCTCAAGTACGAGCAGGACCTCTACGCCAGGGAATCCTTGAACGTGCCTAAAATCTCATACGTTGACAACCAGGATTGCATCGGTTAGGATTTCTATTAACGCGGTTGAACGTGAAACCTGCATTTCAATTATTCTAAGACGAGTCGATGATGAATTTTTTTAGATCTCATTGAAGCAAAGAATATTGGAATCTTCAGCCTACTGGACGAAGAGTCGAAACTTCCTACTCACAGTTTCGCGCACTTCACCAGTGAAGTTCATAGAGCTTGGAATGGTCACTTTAGAATTAGCTTGCCGCGTTCTTCTCGTCTGAAAGCACATAGGGAACTCAGAGACGACGAAGGCTTCGTTATCAGACATTATGCTGGTGGAGTTTGCTATCAGACTGTACGTTAATTCCGTTGCTTTCCTTCGCATTAAACATCTCACGGTAAAATTTATCCTTATCGTTCACTTTCGACTGAATATAATTATATGCAATTATTAGAACCAATTTGTGGAGAAGAACAACGATGCTCTGCATGGATCCCTGGAGGCTCTGATCCAGGAGAGCAGCAACAAGTTCCTGAGGACCCAATTTGCCACGCAATCTTGTCAAAAAGGAAAACTGGCTTTTATAAGTGTTGGTAGCAAGTTTAAGAGCCAATTGGGCGAGCTTATGGACAAGTTGAAGAGCAACGTGAGTTTAAATATATTACCTTTCTGTTATGAATAATCGAAAAAATGTACATCAAACGATTCTTGACGCAGGGAACAAACTTCGTTCGTTGTATCAAGCCTAACAATGAGATGGTGGCTCATCGATTCGATGGTAATAGCATCCTTGGCCAATTACGTTGTTCAGGAATGACTTCCGTTTTGGAACTTATGGAACATGGATACCCAAGTCGAGTTCCGTTCCAGGAGCTGTACAATATGTACAAATCTTATTTACCACCTGAACTAGCCAAGTTGGAGCCCAGATTTTTCTGCGAGGTAAAACTCAGTTTACATTAATTAAAAAAAAAAACATATGTATTTATTTCACTGTACAAAGCGCTCCTTTGGTGTTTGAATAATGTTCTAATAATGACGGTGCCTCTTGCTTCCAGGCATTATTGCACAGCCTCAAACTGAACAAAAAGGACTTTAAATTTGGTATTACCAGAGTCTTCTTCAAGCCTGGTAAATTTGCAGAATTTGATAAAATTATGAAGTCCGATCCAGAGAACTTAAAGAAGCTTGTAGCCAATGTTAAGAAATGGCTTTTGAAATCCAGATGGAACAAGATGCAATTCTGCGCGTTGTCTGTCATTAAGTGTAAGTGGACCATACAAAGCGGAAGGATATTATGCTTCCTATTAATATTCTTAATGTATAACCGATTTTGTTACAGTAAAAAACAAGATTATCTACCGACGTCATCATCTAATTGTCATTCAAAAGACTGCACGCATGTACATCGCTAAGAAACAACACCAACCGCGAATCAAGGGCATAGTGAAGATTAGAACCCTTAAAAATCAACTTATAAGGTTGCAAGAAATTTCAAATCAGTTGAAAAGTGCCAGAGAAAAGAGTGTAAACGAAGTTAAGAAACTACAGTCTGAATTGGAACAAGCAATTCAGAAAATCAAGGTGCCTCTCAATCCATTGTTGCCGTTCTCTTACCACGTCCGTGCGATATTTAATTCACGTAATTTTCTCAATTGTAGAACAACCCGCGAATAAAGTCCCAAGAGATCGACACGATGTACAACAAGCTTGTGGAAGCCGTCAATCGCCAGATGGGAACCCTTCAAGACATGGTAAAGCAACAAAAGATAGCCGAAGAGCAAGAACGACTGAAAAAGATACAATGTGAGCTGGAAACGGAAAAAAGAAGAAAGGAGGATGAGGAGCGGAAGAAAAGGGAAGACGAAGACAACAGAAGAAAGAAAGCAGACATCGAGTCGCGAAGAAAAGCCGAAGAGGAACAGAGGTTGCGACAGGAGGAAGAAGACAAAAAGACCGCCGCGGCTCTTCAAGTATGCCCATTCCCTATCAACTTCATCTTTCCTATCACGCTTACATGATGTATCTGGAATTTCTTTTAATATCTTTGCATGATCCCTTCCCCCTTGTTTGAGACGACACGAGGAGCAGCGTAAAGTACATTTTCTTATAACATATAATATAAAAATATCTTCCCAAGGCACAATTGGAGAAGGAAGCTGCAGAAGAGAGTCACTATCGAGAACTGCTGGAACAAGAAAGAAGAGACCACGAATTGGCGGTCAGACTTGCTCAGGAGTCGAATGGCCAAGTAGAAGATTCGCCGCCGTTCGTGCGAAGGTACTCTTCATCATCTTTCCTCTATAGAATCCTCTCCTCCTACCCTTCTTCACTTCCGGAGAAGACCGTTCCGAGCTTCTTTCGAGTCGAGGAGGAGAGAAGAAGTGCGAGAGGGTTAAATTAAAACTGAATTTTATTGTAATTGCACAGCGGTTCGGATGTACGGGTACCATCGACGAACAACAACAGGCTCATAAGGTATATCGAAAAGTTATGCAGCAGTTTGGCATGAAACACCTTAACATTCACTAACCAATTTCTCTTCGAGTTTGACTATCTGTGTTCGCGTAGACGAAGAAACCCGGAAACTCTCTATTGACGCGATGCCGTCACGTTCCAATACTTCGGTCAACGTTTGTCCTAATTATCTATCTATCTACGTTTATTCACCTGCATGACTTGTTAACATGTGCGCGAAAATTGGAACGTTCCGTGAACGAAGTTTCTACTTTCCGTGAACGTCGTTAAGAACGGGCTCAGCAAGTCGGATGATAAAAACCTCGGTTCACTGAACTTTTCGAAACTTCCAATTCCACTAATTAACGGAGTACCCGCAATATTTGATTGTTCAAACCAGCATGATTATCGGTGTAGAGTGCATGGCTTTCATAATATTCGGAGAGTAATCGTCGCAACGGCGACCAACGGATATGTCTTCTTGGATTCGGTGGCCCCATTTTTCATTACAGATCGTCCCGGCTCTAACAACGAAGCGTGATTTTTAATGTTTAATGGGCAAACGACCCTAGGAATTAACGGTACAAATTAAATTTAATGCCTCTTCCCCCGTTCAGATCGGAGCAGGTTCGCAATCATCAGGCCGCGATGTCAAATAAGAAGTACGACCTCTCGAAGTGGAAATACTCGGAGCTTCGGGATGCAATAAACACATCCTGTGACATCGAGCTTCTCGAGGTACTCTAAAGCTCTATAAACCGATCGATCAAATCATTACAATCCCTCAGCAAGGTGCATCTTTATTTAACCCGATGCTTAAACTCCTTAAAGTTGAAAACTGCATAAGCAGTTAAGAGTCTTCAATTTCAAGCGCAAGGATATTCCATTGTAATTAGACTATCGGGATAAAATCCTTTAAATTCAGGCTTGCCGACACGAGTTCCATCGTCGATTGAAGGTGTACCACGCGTGGAAGGCGAGGAACCGCAAAAGGACCACCATGGATGAAAACGAACGTGCTCCGAAATCTATCATGGAGGCAGGTAGGCATCTGAAAGTACAGAAGATGTCTTATCGAAGAAAATTCCCATACGCTAGCCGGCCTTGAATTTGATTACGACTAATGGGTGCACGTGTTTCGCAGCAGCCAAGACACCTCATACTCCGATAAAAAGTCCGATCGTTGAGTCGTCTCAAAGATACTTCCGAATCCCGTTCGTACGCCCAGCAGCTTCTGGTCAGCCGGAAGGTCCCAATGGTGGTGGTAAAAGGGGCTGGTGGTATGCCCATTTCGATGGGCAATACGTTGCCAGGCAAATGGAGCTTCATCCTGACAAGCCACCGATTCTTCTAGTTGCCGGTTAATACGAATAGAATTACATCTAGTGTCCCCGCATTCGCGTTTCGATCTACCTCACGACGTGGACGCAATTCTTTTTCCAGGTATAGACGACATGCAAATGTGCGAGCTAAGCTTAACCGAGACTGGACTAACGAGAAAACGTGGCGCAGAGATTTTGGAGCACGAGTTCAACCGCGAATGGGAACGCCATGGTGGCAAGCCATACATGACCCCAAGTGACCGTCGAGCTCGCGCGAAATGAAGATGACTGCCAGGGTTAGTCGTTCGCGTCCACGACATTCGCGCGAATGTCAAAAGACAGAGTATAATTAGTCTCCAAGCCGAGACACGCCGGGGTTCCCGAGGAACCGGGAAGAAAGGAGAGCACGGACAATAACGCATTTCGCCTGGAAGAGAGACTAGAAGGCCCTACTTCCGGGAACGGATTTCCTCAAGAGGAAGGCCACTTCCCGGAGTAAATCGGGAGGTCTTCGGAATTTCGGCCGCTTATTGCATAACGGTTACATATCATTACCGGGACTCTTTACCACTGCTGGGGCTACGTAAGTCGTTCGTATTAGGAAGCGTTCCTCTCCGAGGTGTGATAAGAAAAAGAAGAAATATTCCCCCGAAAGTGCCTTATATCTAAGCATTCCTCGACAAGGTGTTCGCGTCGAGCTCGTGTCCTTGTTGGGACGCTATGGAGCATTCCTCGCAAATAATAGCCCGTTCGGATAGACAGAGATCCTCCTTCCGGGCCTTTATTTGCCGCGAGTAAAATAAAGTCAGTCCCCAGGATTTCGGGAAACACCGTTCGGTTTATTCGGCACTGGATGTCCACGTCACCGTTTCCCTAAGTACAACTCAAGTTATGCAAGCAATCTGCGTCCTTAACTCGGCATTAACCAAACGACGCATCTACGCTGTTTACACCTTATATAGGCAGGCTAATATATGTTAATAAAAAGAAGATGAAAATAAAATAGCGCACAGTTCTTGCGATACGTTTTCAAGGTATGCGCCGAGGTACTGTCAAAGTATCCGCGCATAATTATATCGATACAAAGCCGCAAGATCTCAACGTATCACAGTTAAACAAAGTCACGCAGCATGCTCGTTTATTGTACTTCATACGCTTGGTTCCTCGATCGGAGATTAAGCGGTCCGATTGACGTCGCGTTATGTTCCACGGCGAATGACGATTTGCTCCTTGACCGATCGCAATCGCTTATACTCGGATTAAGGAACGGAGCTCGACGTCAGTCATCGTATCCAATTGATCATTCCTCGGAATCATCCGTTTCCTCGCCTTCGTCGGTTAACTTATCACAAATGGCGACACTTTACCGCGGGTATATGGAACTATCAAAAATTTATCTCTTTATGAAAAACTCCTTTTCTATCTTCCTTGACGGTTCTAGCTACGAAGTTACTTATATTATCGAGACGACTGTCATATCGGATAAACATAGACGCATTATCTTCCCGATGACACGATTAGAGATAAGGGTATATCCAATAGTACATTAAAACGCAATGGACCACTCGGTGAATGTAAGGTGCAACGACGGACGAACATTGTTCTTAGCTTATGGTGAAGGAGACTTCATGTAGTTAAGTAATTTGTGCACGAGAATGCACGAAACTTTAACACTAGCCAATGGCGAAATTCAATCGACAAACGCACTTCTTACTTTCATATTGACGTGGTCTTACAATTGTCACGCTTACATTCCCGGCGGTTTCGAGCGAACCGTATTTCTATTAAAGAAAACTCGCATAGTAGAAATCTTGTTCCTGACAAGACTAAAAAAAAAAAATGAGAAATCCAGATTGGCCAAAACATCTTCCAGCAGTCCAGGAAACTAACGGTCGCGGTGAACAGAAAGTGACTTAAATAAACATTTCTTTCGAGTTGATAAGACGACTTAAAGTTCACTTACATTTCAATGGAAAAGAAAAATCAGATATGCAGAGCAACTCAACGGAATTGAGTTTTCCTAGTGATTCCAGTTTGATTGTAACATCTTTCAGGAGGCTTGTTAAATTCCCTCGATTTACTTTTACCAAACGGAAGAGTTAGGAGCTTGCTCGTACAAAATGTGAACCCTGCTTAAAAATCCTGTTACAAGGCAATTAACTGTGAGAGATGACCTTTTTTTGGCAACCGGTAACAGCAGTCCTCCAAGGTGTTCCTCGTTCGACGATGTATCGCTTCATATCGCGGAAAACATCTCTCATTGCCTATCACGTGTTCGGTCCTTTGATCGTGGCCATCTCTTATTTCTTAGGCGGGATAATCTAGAAATCAAAATGACGATTCGGAGGGGATGCTTGAATACAAAGGTGAACAGTTAGCCGGGGAGATGACGATGTGCATCTTGAGCATATCTTTCTTGGGGCCAACTAGGAAGGGCGAAGCCGCCGGAGGTCCTTGGTGATCTTTGGAAACAGCAGCCTGCTGCGGATTTAGTTCCTCGAAGGGTAGAAGGCCGTCTAAGTTGAGAATGCGCTCCCTGTTGCTAAACCTGTGCACGACCTCGATGACTCTAGCGATGTGCTCGACCCCATCCTGGAGTCCGTAGAATAAAACGCCGACCTTTACTCTCATGTCTTCGTGGCCATCCGAGGGTGGTTCTTTGCACGTCAGGGAGAGTCTGACCGAACGTATGACGTGCTCCGGTACCTCAAGGGTACCTTCCCACACGATGAGGAAACATTTCTTGAACCAAACACCCTTTGGGTATATATCAACGACCCATTCACAGGCCCGGTCGCCTGCATAATCCGCCAAATAGGAGTGGCTCGAAAAGACGAGCGTCCTGGTGTGATAGGAGGGTAAACTGTGAAAATTCTCGATGGTGAGCAAGGAGCTGCAAGTGTCCACTGTGTAAAGCCTCGGCTCGAACAGCGAAGCTCCGTCTTCCTCGGTTCTGATCACCTCTTGCACCCGATCCTGTTGACCCGAGTGAAACGACATCCCTATAGCCATTCGTTCCACAAAGAACTCTTTATACTTCTTAGTGAGTGGTGAGAGGAGTAACTCTGCCAACTGTCTAGGAGACATCATGGGAAATCTAACCGGAGACATGACTGCCACTACCAGCTGTTCCAAGGTTGCTTCGAGCTCCGAAGGTGACAATCGAGACTTCAGTCGATTCGCCTGATGATTCAACCAGGATTCTAGACATTCGTACAAGGTCATCTCATCCTTTACCACCAGACCACTTTGGTGGACCAATGCCACAAGAACGTCCAATTCAAAATTTCCAAAATCGGCGGTTTTTGCGACGAGTTCCAAGTTCCATTTGATAAAGTTTTGGCATGATCTGGTAATATCGTGGTGCCCACAATTAGATGTGTACTCGAGCCATGAGACTAATGTACCATGTGTTGCAGCTACAGCGATGTGACTTTGCATATAGTCCAGGCATAGTGATATTAAATCCTTAACATTGTACTTGTCGGCTAATGACAGGATCGGTAATACCACGCCATAGCTGATCCTTATTTGACCTGTATAGAAGTAACGCAGGAATTCGCTAAATATGGGTACACACTGTGGAGTTTCTTTTAGCATCACCCTGCTTTCTTGAGATTCGGTCCATTGAGGACTCATTAACATAACCTGTGCAAAAAGGAACAAATGATTTTTATCGGAAAAGCTGTTGTTATGCAATGACGACTCTAATCTCTCTTTAATATTTTACCTGGAAAACATCGCTAGAAGCACATAGTATAAGACGATGTGCGGGATATTCTACTCCATCCACTACCAGACAAATATCATTCATAAGACGCTCTGCATATAGAGTTGCTATTTTCAATAGGACTGTCTTGGAGTTATCTACCTGATAATAAAAAAAAACATATCCAACTTAAAACGATTATATATTATGATTTATTATGATAGCGAGGCTTCAATCAAGCAATCTTTGCATAAGTTTAAGAGTTCTTTACATGTACCTCTATGGAATCTGATGCTTCAGAAGCATTGCTAGAACTCGGGTGGTTATTAAATTCCTTTTCTTTTGTATTCCCGTCCATCTCTAAATTGCCTGTCATCCACCTAAATGTACGACATAACAACTGGACATATTTTCGGGACGTGATCGAGACTTTATCGTCTTTGAGACATCGATATTTATGCTTTCAACCTGTGAAATTAGGGCTTGGTAACCAGATGATATTGCATCCTACGTCAACTGTATCAATCGCAATATTAAATACAACCTGAAAATAAGAGAATAACGTAAAACTCATATATTATAATTGAACTTAAATGGAAAATGTATCTTATTTTACAGGAATAAAATAAAATGCATACCTAACAGCGGTTTACAAAGCATGAAAACTAACCTTTCTGCCAACAAAAACGATTCAATTACAACACTAGGAAGGAACAATATTATTAACCACACATGACAACTTCAGACACCTCACGATTATTAAACAAGTATCGCTGAAGACAAATCCGTTTACATAGACGAAATCAGAAACTATCAACTGCCAACCAGCGAAACGTCAACCCTCAAACCTTCTCGACATTGTTCGGGAACGACAGGTCTAGAAATACATTTTTACATCAGGGGGTCTATTCAGAGATGAGTTGGGAGATTGCTCACGGAAGGGATCGTGCGATCGCATCCTGTGCTGCCCTCTGGTTTCGTACGTTAGCTTTCACTGTTTTTTGCCGCCAAGGGCGGCGCAATGAATTTCTGATATTGAGCTCGCGCACTCGCGATAACGGTACCATCTACCAGTGACCGTTGGCGGCTCACGTACTCGTGACGGTAATACCATGCGGCAGTTG